AAAAAAAAAAAGAGCGGCGCCCACGCCCTGCGTCCACATCCTGCGTCTCCCGGTCCGAGTTGACGTTACCTTGAAGTTGTCACTTTTCTCTCGTCGTCACCTTCCAAAAGTTTCCGATTCACAATCTGTGCTTTTCTCTTTTTTTTTTTCTTTTCTTTTTTTTCGTTGTTGCTATTGTGTTACGTGTCCCTGCCGGCGTCCCGCCTCACAGTCGACAGAGGCAGAAGAGCGTGGGGATGAAGACCCCGAACGACACCAAGATGGGGAACATGAGGCTGCTGTTGTCGGCGGCGTACGGGTTCGGTGTTCGGGGGCCTGACTGGACCCTGTACTTAGAACCTGGGGGTACTTTTTTCTTGCCGCTGTCCTCGCCTCCTTCGTTGTCCTCCTCTTCTTCCTCCTCTTCCTCGTGCTTCTCCAGACCCGGGTGAGGTTGAAGTTTTGGCACATCTGTCGAAACAAAAACGAGGTTCGCCGTGAGTTGAATCTGGAGAAACGATACGCATCACAATACGGTACGCATCACGATACGATAGGTATCACGATACGGTACGCATCGCGATACGATAGGTATCACGGTACGCATCGCGATACGATAGGTATCACGGTACGCATCGCGATACTATAGGTATCACAATACACATCACGATACGATAGGTATCATGATACGCATCACGATACGATAGGTATCACGATACGCATCACGATACGGTACATATCACGATATATCAGGGACTCACCTTCTAATGTTCCCTTCATGACATAGAGGGCGCAGACCTTGGGGTTGTCATAGTAACCCTGAAACACAGACAGAGGTGAGTCAGTTCAAAACATCACTGACCAAACGGTAAGATTACCATCACCGCTGATCTGAAAATCACCGCAGTTTGATGAAAAAAAAAGGAGAAAAAAGTCTGCTCTTCAGCTACAGACACCATACCATAATAATCACCGCAATAATCAATACAATAATCACCACAATAATCACCCCAATAATCAATATATTAAACACCACAATAAACAATACAATAATCACCATAACAATCACTGCTATTATCACCATAACAATCACCATAATAATCACCACGATAATGACTACGTTAATAACCAGGATAATCAACATGACAATCACCACAATAATCACCATAACAATCACCACAGTAATCACTACAATAATCACCACAATAACCACTACAATAATCACTACAGTAATCACGATAACAATCACCATAATAATCACTACAGTAATCACCATAACAATCACCACATTAACCACTACAATAATCACCATAACAATCACCATAATAATCACCACATTAACCACTACCATAATCACCATAACAATCACTACAATAATCACCATAACAATCATTATAATAATCACCATAACAATCACCATAATAATCA